CCTCTATTAATCCACGAGAAGTCACTAATGCCATCAGTGGCTCTCCTTTTGGCAAGACCTGTGTAAATGAGGGTGTCCAGCAACTCGGTAGGGGTACTGCCCTAAGGCTCTGGCTCCACTGTAAGTCTTTTCTAACCAGAAATTTACCACTTAATGCCATTCATGTCCTGGGTAAGTGGAATGTTGTCTGCTGGGAAGTCCACTCCTCAATCCTTGCTGCTGGTTGTTACAGCAGAATTGGACCGATTTCCTTGTCCCTCTCAGATGAGGAGATCCATTCTGACTTGGTTTTAAGTAGGAAGGGGGGGGGATGACTTAGGTTTGGGTTTGCAAGAGATTTGGAGTCTCAACTCATCCTGCCTCATCTCATATGGTTCATGTATGTTTCTCAGGTGCTTTCCCAAAATTTGTGACTTTTGGCAATGTAAGGTTTCCTGTCCTTCCTTATACTTTTCCTCTACTTCGGTGTTGGAAATATTTCCTTTTTGGGCATGGAGAGCTGTCTTGCCATGGTAAGGTTAGATGTGCAAATTGTAGCGGGTTTCACCCAGTAGTTAAAGACGGCGTTGCCTGTACCTGCCCAGCCTCGTGCCAGTTTTGTAAAGGGACCCACAAGGTCACGTCCTGGTCTTGCCCGGCATATTGCCAGCCTCTTGATTTGGCAAACTCAGCCAGGACCCAGTCTCTCTCACTCGATGAATGTAACTCCAGCCTGCAGTCCGTGAAACCAGTCACAGTCCGTCAGCCTTCATCTCCAGCGCCCCCCACTAAGGGCATCTCCCCAGCACCAGGACAGTCAGGGCACCTGTTCTTCGCAGCTGTGAGGGATAATGTCCGTTTCAAATCGGTTTGTGGAATTCTGTCTTCCTTCAGAGGATTCCCCACCTCGGGGTAGCATCACATCAGGGTGTCTTCAGACCCGGCTTCCATTGTGGAAGTTATTGCTCATGCTCCTTGTTCACAACGCATATCCTCCCGTCAAGGTGGCACAGCTTCAAAATAGACTCGAAGTTCTGTATCCCACCCAGTTCAAGTGGATCTCTTGCCTGACCCAGAGCCTCACACCTCACAGAAATCACCCCCTCCCCCCTCCATTTCTCCTCAACCCCAGCCCCAGCCTGTCCCTGTTTCAAGACCCTTCACTACTGAAGGGTCTTTTTCACTCCTGCCTGCCTGGGCTTCTTTTCTTCATCCTGTCCTGTCCTTTTGGTGGAGGAAGTGCTGCACTCCTTCTTACAGGGTGCCTCTTGTGAATGCATGTCTCTTGTGGTTCTCCCTCGCCTCATCGGGCTTCTTAGTTCGTACACGTGATTCATTCTCGCTTCTTTGTTTTTCTTTGAAACGTTTGTTCCATATTGAGAAAGCTCCTGGACCTCCAGAAGTATCTGGCTGAGGTACAGCTACTAGTGGTGAGCCTCTCTGAGACATGGTTACGTCCTCGTCATTCTGTTCAGCTGTCTGGTTCACCTTGAAGGGGGTGGTGGTGGCCTAGCTCTTCTTGTGTGTAGCCATTTCCAGAGTATAACCCTCTCCCTCGGAGCCTATGAGTGTGGGGTGTTAGAACCTCTAGCCATGTGAGTTGCCTTGGGCACTCAGTGGTGTACCTTCCTCCTGATTTGCAATCCAGGCAGGTGAATAACACAGAGTGAGTTTACCATTACTTTGGGGAACTCAGTGGTCTGGCACTTGTTACAGGGGACTTCAGTGTTAGGCACCATTTCTAGGAGCCATCCGTTTCCTAGGGATCGGTGAATTCCACAGGTAGGGCCTTGTCCCAAGCCCTCTCATTCTTGGGTGTGGGTATTTTTCCACAGCCTTTGTTTTTGTAGGCCCCTTCATGGGAAGTGATCATCTCCCAGTCACTGTATCCACCAGTTCCAGTGATGGCAATTTGTCCACTGTGGAAAACCACTTAGGCCGGTTGGACAAGCTATAGTTACACTCTGATTATAGCCTGCCTCAGGACTCTCTGCTGGACGATGCTGTCGCATCCCTTCAAGGGGCCATGTTAGAGGCAGGCTCTTGTTCATTCCATCTTTCTGGGAGCCTCTCCCATTAACACCCCTCGGGTTCCATGATGGAATGATGAGTGCCTCCAAGCAGTGAAGGCATGCATGGGCACAGTGGCAGTGCAGACCTTCATGGGCTCTGCAGTTGGCCTACCGAAGGGCTGATGCCTTTTGTCGGAGAACTCTCCTCCATGCAAAACGTGAATCATGGGCTTCTTTCTTTTCTTCTTTCTTTTTGCACCTCTGCTAGTCGGGCATGGGGTTTCTTACACTCTGTGTTGAGATCACGATTTGTAAGTTCTTTTTCCCTGTTGGGGGATGGTGCAACGCCACTTTTACCTCCTGATAAAGCTCAGTTGTATGCTAGTTTCTTGAAGCCTACATTTGCTCTTCCTCTCCCTCTACCTTCTAAGGTGATCCCCTGCCCCCTATAGTAGCCAAGGTTGACTGCCAGGTGCTGGCATCTCCCTTCAGCTCCCATGAACTACAGCAGGCACTCTCCCAGCTTTCTTCCTGCTCTTCTCCTGGGGAGGATAACATACCTGTTCATTCTTACTGCATTTACCCCCTCTTGTACAGATGCTATGCTGGAGGTTTTCAATGCCAGCTGGTCTGAAGGAGTTTTCCCCAGTATGTGGAAGCACTCTCTTCTGGTTCCGAGTCTAAAGCCAGGCAAAGATGATACCAAACCAGACTCTTGCCAGCCCATTGCCTTACTGCCCTGCTTGGGTAAAGTGTTGGAAAGACTGGTGGCCACCCGTCTCTCATGGTGGACTGAGGAACATGGCCTCTTGCCTGAAAACCAGAGTGGCTTCCACGAGGGTCAATCCATCCTCTACTCTTTGCTTCAATTTGTGAATACTTCGTTTGAAACTCGGGAGTTCCTTCTGGCTGTCTTTTTGGATCTGCGTGGAGCATTTGATTTAGCATCTCATTCGGCAATTCTTTTTAAGCTGGCCCGCATGGGGCTGGCAGGAGCCCCCCTCTGTTGGATGCGCATCTTTTTGCAAGGGAGGACCTTCCAGGTTGCACGATGTCCTCACCCCATCCTATGTACCGGGGAGTGAACCAGGGATCCGTCCTCAGTCCATTTTAAACAGCTATGGTTCACAGCAAACTCACTTATGCAAGTGAGGTGTATGGCTCGGCCTCTTCTTCCTCTCTTAGCTGCCTGGACATTCTCCAGAATTTGGCCATCTGCAGTATGCTGGGGGTGTTCTCCTCCACCATTGCAGCCTTGGAAGTGGAGTCTGGGATAATTCCCCTCTCACCAGTACAAACAGCGAGGGACTATTTATGACTCCATCGTGTGGCCTCTCTGCCTTGTACTTGCCCCTGCTGTCTCTCTCCACAGATGTGGGAGGCAAACTGTCCCCCCACATTTGGTTCAGCCTTCCTTTATAGCCAGGAACCAATATTCCCTGGGCTACCATTCATTCCATGTGCCAGTGATGGCTCCCTCCCCTCTCCACTCTCTGGCTTTCCCCTGGATGAACCTGACATGGTATATCCACCTTGATTAGCCTTACAGGAACAGGGAACCCCCTCAGATAGCTACATTTTTCTTTGAAGAGTTTCCTGCTGTTACGTATGGTTCTTCATTCTCCATCTACAGGGACAGCTGAGCACGAACTTCCTCCCCTTTCTGCGTCTTCTGCTGATCTTTCTCTGTGTTAAATCTGTCGATTAGACCCCGTTCACTTGATCCTAGCAGGAGAGCTCTTCACCAAGCTTTGGTTTTTGTCCTTGCTCACCTTCCTCCTCAGCCTTTGGTTCTCTTCTCTGATTCCCAATCTTCCCTGGCACTTTTGTGCTCTTCTGTTCACAGTCCCTACGCGTCCTCATCTGACAGACGCAGTTTCTTCTAATGCATTTCTTGCAGAGTCCAGGTTGGAGCATCTCCCTTTATGGGGTACCTGCCCATGTTGGCATTCGGGGCAATGAAGCAACCTCATTTGCACACACAGTTCCTAGCATTATCCCTCTTGCACTGGGCTGCAGTGATTTCACAAGGACTGTTTGGAAGGAAATCTACCACTTATGGCAAGAGGACCTGGTACGCTCCCTCTCTTCTTTGGCACTGAGCTCTGTCCGATCGTTCAATGGCCCCTGCCTTGGGCTTGTCATCGCAGTCGCTCAGTGAATGTTGCACCGACTTGTCTCTGGGTTGGGCACTCATGGCTGGCAGCTCATCTGTACCGCCTTCGGATGACAGACTTTCCGTACTGCCCATGGTGTCCCTCACAGCCTGAGATAGTGGAACACCTACTGTGGTGCCCACATTGCCACTCTGCATGGACTATTCTCCATGTGGCCTTGTGCACATTTGGGGTGCAATCTTTAACTCTACCTCTCCTTAGTGGGAGGGGTTTGACTCTCCAGACCATCAGGAGATCTTGGCCTGTACCTGCACATTCTTGCTGGCTTCAGGGCACATTAGGGACATATAATACACAGTTATTAATCAAACATCCATCCACTCTGGTCAAGGTTCTGTTTCTGAGCTCTGGAAGGCAGGGCTTGATACGGCGTATGCTGTCAATGGCCCTATAAACCCCAACAACAACATTGTAAGTTTTTGTGTGCCTAAATTTTGATAAATTTTAACTTTTTATAATTGATTTTTGTATATTTTATGGTAGTAAATGATAACATAGACTAGTATCTACATATAATTTATGCATTCATTGCTTACCAAAGTTTTTCTTAATTTTCTTGATACTTCTAGGCTATGCGGTTTGTCTGCGAGTTTTTTCAAATTGTCGCACATCTCCAAACAAAATTCCAGTGTATTTATTGATAAAAATCCACATATAAGTGAACCCATGCAACTTAAACCCATGTTGTTTGAGGACCATCTGTAATCACGGATTATTTACTGTCACCCCTGTAACTCATAATAAACACTAATTAGTATTATTCATTCTCACCCTCTAACTCATCAATGACTAATTATTCACTGTCACCCTGTAACTCGTACTGTAATTTCAGAGTGGTGTGGATGGGAAGGAGAGATCACATGGTCTCGTGTGGTGTCTGTGCTGTCATTTCCTCTCACCAACCCTTCAGCTATGTTAAATCTGGCTGCACAGGTAGGTCCTCATTAAGAAACATTCTTCTTTCTTTAAACACACCGGCCGTATCCCACCGAGGCGGGGTGGCCCCAAAGGAAAAACAAGTTTCTCCTTTTACATTCAGTAATATATACAGGAGAAGGGGCTACTAGCCCCTTGCTCCCGGCATTTTAGTTTCCTCTTACAACATGTATGGCTTACGGAGGAAGAATTCTGTTCCACTTCCCCATGGAGATAAGAGGAAATAAACAAGAACAAGAACTAGAAAGAAAATAGAAGAAAACCCAGAGGGGTGTGTGTGTATATATATGCTTGTACATGTATGTGTAGTGTGACATAAATGTAAGTACAGTGGTCCCTCGTTTTTCGTAGTTAATCCGTTCCTGGAGTTGCTACTATTATCGAAATCTACGATTTTTGAATCAATTTTCCCCATAAGAAATAATGTAAATACAATTAATCCGTTCCTGACACCCAGAAGTATTAAAACAAAAAATTTTTTTACATGAAATGTACATGTAGTACATAAACAATACAATGGGAAATGATGAATGAAACATTAACAGCATAACACTTACCTTTACTGGAGATTGTTCTTAGTGTATGGCAGACTGGAGGAGGAGAGAGATTGGATTGTTTACAGTTGGGAAGGGGAATCCCCTTCCAGTAACACCTCAGGTACCAATTGCTTTTCTGGGGTTGCTTCTCTTCTCTCTTTCTTAATGCCACTAGGACCAGCTTGAGAGTCACTGGAGTCCTGTCTCGCAAAATAACTGTGGAGAGAGCTCTGTTTCTGGCGCCTCTTTAACACTTCCCTAAACTGGCCTAAGACTTTGTCACTGTATATGTTGCCAACAACCTTGTCAGGGTGATGTTTCTCCATAAATCTTTCCATCTTACCCCACATAGCAAAAATCTCTTTAATTTCTGAAGAAGGCACCTTCTTCCATCTCTCTCCCTCCTCCTCTGCAGCAAGATTGTGAGCTGCGATCTGTTGCTGTTCCTGCAGCTCCTCCAAACTCACATCCAACCCCATGGAACTCCCCAGTGCCACAATTGATTTAACAACAGACATAGGCTCATCAGGGTCAGTCCCAAACCCTTCAAAATCCCTCTTGTCGACACAATCTGGCCACAATTTTCTCCAAGCAGAGTTCAAAGTCCTGGTAGTCGCTCCCTCCCAAGCCATACCTATAAGGGTTATGCAGTGGAGGATGCTGAAGTGTTCTCTCCAAAATTCTCTTAGGGTCAAGTGAGTGTCTGTGGTCACAGTCAAGCACCTTTGAAACATTACTTTGGTGTAGAGTTTTTTAAAGTTTGCAGTGACCTGCTGGTCCATGGGCTGGAGGAGAGGAGTGGTATTCGGGGGCAAGAACTTTACTGTGATGAACCCAAACTCCTCGAAAATTAGGTCATCCAAGTTTGGAGGATGAGCAGGTGCATTGTCCATTACTAGCAGGCACTTGAGATCCAATTTCTTTTCCAGGAGGTAATTCTTCACACTAGGGCCAAACACTTCATTGAACCACTCGACGAAAATTTTCCTCGTGACCCATGCCTTACTATTAGATTTCCAAAACACACACAATTTACTCTTCATAACATTGTTTTTCCTGAACACACTGGGATTTTCAGAATGGTACGCTAGTAATGGCTTCACTTTGAAATCCCCACTAGAACAGAACATGAGCGTCAGCCTGTCTTTCATAGGCTTGTGTCCTGGCATTGCCTTTTCCTCCTGTGTAATGTAAGTCCTCTTTGGCATTTTCTTCCAAAAAGAGGCCAGTTTTGTCACAGTTGAACACTTGTTCAGGTTTCAGTCCTTCAACCTCTATGTACTCCTGGAATTCATGCACATATTTTTCAGCCGCCTTGTGGTCCGAATTGGCAGCCTCACCATGCCTTACCACACTGTGTATGCCAGTACGGTTCTTAAATCTCGCAAACCAACCTTTGCTGGCCTTAAATTCACTATTTGCAGGCAATTTCTTTACCAGATCGTTGTGCAACTGCCTAGCCTTTTCACAAATAATCGAAGTCATAAGAGTATCTCCTGCTAATTGTTTCTCGTTTATCCACACCAATAATAACATCTCAACATCTTCGAGTACTGGTGATCTCATTTTTGTCAGCATATTTACCCCCTTTGCAACAACAGCATCCTTGATTTCCTCTTTCTTGGCCACGATGGAACATATGGTTGTGTAGGGTTTCTTATACATCCTGGCCAGTTCGGCCACACTTGTGCCTCTTTCGTATTGTTCAATAATGTTTTTCTTAAATTCAGTTGTATTTCTCACCTTCTTTACCACAGGCTTGGCACTAGGAGCTTTCTTTGGAGCAATGGTAGCTTATTTAGTACTTGCAAGCACTAAAATGAGTGGAATATTATGAAATATTTCGTAGGAGCACGTGAGGGGACCTTCGCTCACTGGTAAACAATGCCACACTGGCTGGGTAGGGAGGCCGCCCGGCTCACACCGTGAGTACGCGTCCTGGACGACATACTATTCGCGAGCCCATGTTTATACGAAAATATCCCTATGATTTCCGAGAACTACGATTATTGAGGGACCACTGTAGAAGTAGCAAGACGTACCTGAAACCTTGCATGTTTATGAGACAGAAAAAAGACATCAGCAATCCTACCATCATGTAAAACAATTACAGGTTTCCATGTTACACTCACTTGGCAGGACAGTTGCTGTCTACCAACCTATTATAATACTTTTTTTTTATTAACACACCGGCCGATTCCCACCAAGGCAGGGCGGCCTGAAAAAGAAAAACTTTCACCATCATTCACTCCATCACTGTCTTGCCAGAAGGGTGCTTTACACTACAGTTTTTAAAATGCAACATTAACACCCCTCCTTCAGAGTGCAGGCGCTGCACCTCCCACCTCCAGGACTCAAGTCCGGCCTGCCGGTTTCCCTGAATCCCTTCATAAATGTTACTTTGCTCACACAAGTCCAAGCCCCTCACACACAAAACCTCCTTTACCCCCTCCCTCCAACCTTTCCTAGGCCGACCCCTACCCTGCCTTCCTTCCACTACAGACTGATACACTCTTGAAGTCATTCTGTTTCGCTCCATTCTCTCTACATGTCCGAACCACCTCAACAACCCTTCCTCAGCCCTCTGGACAACAGTTTTGGTAATCCCGCACCTCCTAACTTCCAAACTACGAATTCTCTGCATTATATTCACACCACACATTCCCCTCAGACATGACATCTCCACTGCCTCCAGCCTTCTCCTCGCTGCAACATTCATCACCCATGCTTCACACCCATATAAGAGCGTTGGTAAAACTATACTCTCATACATTTCCCTCTTTGCCTCCAAGGACAAAGTTCTTTGTCTCCACAGATTCCTAAGTGCACCACTCACCCTTTTCCCCTCATCAATTCTATGATTCACCTCATCTTTCATAGACCTATCCGCTGACACGTCCAGTCCCAAATATCTGAATACATTCACCTCCTCCATACTCTCTCCCTCCAATCTGATATCCAATCTTTCATCACCTAATCTTTTTGTTATCCTCATAACCTTACTCTTTCCTGTATTCACTTTTAATTTTCTTCTTTTGCACACCCTACCAAATTCATCCACCAATCTCTGCAACTTCTCTTCAGAATCTCCCAAGAGCAACTGTGACAACTCCCACTTTATGTGTGATTATTTATCTTTTAAGTCCAAGCCTATTGCCAAGACCCTCGCATTTACTTCTCTTACAACCCCATCTATAAATATATTAAACAACCACGGTGACATCACACATCCTTGTCTAAGGCCTACTTTTACTGGGAAATATTGTCCCTCTTTCCTACATACTCTAACTTGAGCCTCACTATCCTCGTAAAAACTCTTCACTGCTTTCAGTAACCTACCTCCTACACCATACACCTGCAACATTGCCCCCCTATCCACCCTGTCATACACCTTTTCCAAATCCATAAATGCCACAAAAACCTCTTTAGCCTTATCTAAATACTGTTCACTTATATGTTTCAGTGTAAACACCTGGTCCACTCACCCCCTACCTTTCCTAAAGCCTCCTTGTTCATCTGCTATCCTATTCTCCGTCTTACTCTTAATTCTTTCAATAATAACTCTACCATACACTTTACCATGTATTATAATACTATGCTCAATAATAGCCCACAAGGAGACAGAAACACAGAACATTGATTGATCCGTATGTTTCGACCCCTTCTGGGATCTTCTTGAGCCTCATAAATTTCTGTCTCTTTGTGGATTATTATAGAACACTGACAAGTGTTCATTACAGTAATATTTTAAAATCAATCTATTTATAAACTTCAAAGAAAATGTACACAGTGTACCCCTGGTTATTGGCGGGTTTTTCAGCGCCCGGTTATCGGCCATTTTGGACGTGTCCATCCACTAGCTGGGGCAGCTTGCGCTTTAGTTTGGCTTTGTCTCTCAGTGGCTGAGGAAGCTTTTGCTCATACATCCAAACCTTTCGCTTGTTTACCATTGCTTTTAGTGGTTTTTCTTGCAGTGCAACTGTGAAATAAGTAAAGATGGCCCCAAAGAAAGTTCCTGTGGTAAAGAAAATGAGAAACACCATGGAATTTAGGCATGAAGTGATAGAAAAGTTTGAGAGTTGTATGAAGGTGGTGGAACTTGCCAGGATGTACAGCAAGAATAAATCAACAATTATATCCATCCTGGCAAAGAAAGAACAAATCGAAGATGCTAATGTTGCAAAAGGAGTAACTTTTCTAACTAAACAAAGGACACCAATAATGGAAGAGATGGAAAAGTTATTATTATTTTAGATTAAGGAAAAAGAATTAGTGGGAGACAGTGTTGTGGAGTCTACTATTTGTGAGAAGGCAAAGCAGTTGCATGAGGATCTTGCAAAGAAAATGCCTGGAACAAGTGCTGTAGTTTGTGAATTTAGGGCCAGCAAAGGATGGTTTGATAGATTTAAGAAGCGTAGTGGCATATACGGTGTTGTAAGGCATGGTGAGGCTGCAACTTCTGACAAATGTGCAGCTGAAAAGTATGTTCACGAATTCTAGGACTATGTAAAGGCTGAAGGATTCGAACCCAAACAAGTGTTCAGTTGTGACAAAACAGGCGTGTTTTGGAAGAAAATGCCAAACAGGACGTACATTACCCAGGAGGAAAAGTCACTGCCAGGACAGGCTTACTCTTTTGTTGTGTGGTAATGCTAGTGGGGATTTCAAAGTGAAGCCTTTACTCGTGTATCACTCAGAAAATCCCAGAATGTTAAAGAAAAACAGAGTCATGAAGAATAGATTGTGTGTGATGTGGAAAGCTAATCATAAGGCATGGGTCACAAGGAAAATTTTCAATGAGTGGGTTAATGATGTGTTTGACTCAAGTGTGAAAATATACCTCCTGGAAAAGAAATTGTCACTCAAGTGCCTCCTGGTACTGGACAGTGCTCCTGCACAACCAAGTGAAGTTCTTGCCTCCTAACACCACTCCTATCCTCCAGCCCATGGACCAGCAGGTCATTTCTAACTTCCAAAAACTCTACAGAAAAGCAGTTTCAAAAGTGCTTTGAAGTGACCTCGGACACTCAGTTGACCCTAAGACAGTTCTGGAGGAATCACTTCACTATCCTTCATTACATAAGCCTTATAGGTAAGGCTTGGGAGGGAGTGACTTCCAGGACTTTGAACTCTGTTTGGAGAAAACTGTGGCGAGATTGTGACCAAGAGAGGGATTTTGAAGCTGACCCTGTGGAGTCTATTGTGGCACTGGCGTTGGAGGTGAGTGGCGGACCACAGGGAAGAGCTGCAAGAACTTCATCTTGAACAGCAACAGCAGCTGAGGAACTTGGTTCAGAGAGAGTGAAGGAGGTGCCTTCTTCAGAGATTAAAGAGGTGTGTGCAAGCTTTTGTAGAGAAACACCACCCTGACAAAGCTGAAACAAGCCATATTTGCAACATGTTTAGTGACAAAACCCTGTCCCACTTCAGGGATATCTTAGAGATGCCAGAAACAGAGCACTCAGAACAGTTATTTTGTGAGACAGGGGTCCAGTGACTCAAGCTGGTCCTAGTGGCAATAAAAGACAGAGAAGGCTTTGCTACCTAAAGTCTTTATGGAGGGGGATTTCTCTTCCAAACACTAACTCCTCTCTCTTTCCTCCTCCCTATCTTCCAGAAGCCAGCCTTTAACAATTATGTAATACTTACATAATTGTTAAAAAATGTATTTCCATTAATTCTTATGGGAAATATTAGTTGGGTTATCGGCTGACCTTCTGGAACGAATTATGGCTGATAAGTGGGGGTCCACTGTACATAAATATAGTGTATACAGTACTGTAATAAGCAAACCTGAATTCTGAGGAAATGAGGCTAGTATGTTTTTGTTAGGTTGTTGATGCATATTTTAAATTTAAAAAAAGTGTCATTTTTGTATGTTCTTCAGGAAGGTCATTTGCTCGTAGTGTATGCCCACACATGCTGGAAGAGACGACAGAATCTTGGGTGTGGAGACAATCTCTTACTTCTGACTTTTTTTTGTGAAATGTTCGAAAGTTTAACACTCAAGTGAGTATTTCTTTCATTTAACTAGTTTGCAGTATTTGATTTGATGATAATTTCTTCATAGATATTAAAGAATGGCTCATAACTTACAAATGATCCAAGTTACACACACAACTGTTTTCTATACAAACAATTGTAGAAAGAAGGCAAATGACTGTTGACATCTAGAGGAAAATAAACACAGCTGTATGTACTGTACTTAGGAAACTTTTATTGAAGATGTTTTAATCCTGGGACCTTAATTACTTCAAACATGAGATAATAGGTATATTTAAACACCATAGGCACCACAAATGCAAGTTTTTACAGACGAATCGTCTGTAAAGACTTGCATTTGTGATCACAGTGGTGCCTAGTCAGCTGACCCAGTGGTTAATGTGTCGGTCTGGAGTTTTATGACTCTCTGATTGCGGATTCTATCCCCGCCTGTGGTATGGTTTGTTTTTTTCTGCATTCTAATTTGATTATCACAATTGAAGCAATATTTTTTCCATTGAAATTAGCAACTAAATGCAAGATTGAGGGTTGCCTCGACTTGAGAGCGTCACATAAAAATATTCACAGGAAAGAGTAACAAATAAAAGCAGAGGAATGAATGAAAAAAGAAATAAAAAATTAAATATCAGAATTTACTAAATTCTTGGAAATACAATATACAGTGGACCCCCGGTTAACGATATTTTTTCATTCCAGAAGTATGTTCAGGTGCCAGTACTGACCGAATTTGTTCCCATAAGGAATATTGTGAAGTAGATTAGTCCATTTTAGACCCCCAAACATACACGTACAAACGCACTTACATAATTGGTCGCATTGGGAGGTGATCGTTAAGCGGGGGTCCACTGTATAAGGGCATAAATACAAAATTTATTTCATTTCTGTAGTCTACAGGTTATGTAGTTTACACACAATAAAATACTGTTGGTCACAAAAGAAAGCCACTAGAATGTAGTGCATTTTGGGCAGGCTAATCATGATTTATATGTTTTCATTGTAGTGTATAGTGTTACAGATAATGTGTCTACAGTATTATTATGTTGCCCATCTACATTTAATTTTTTTCTGTACATATCAGTGCTGAAATGGAAATTGGACTTGTTCTTCTGATAAGTGAAATCTTGAAGATAATAACTGACTCTGTGCATGAGAAAGGAATTGTAGAGTCTCTGTGGCAGCATTCACAAGTTCTCACCTCACAACTAGCAATTTGGGCTGAGGATCGAGCAACCACAGGTATTTTGGCAGCCATAGGAATGGGCCGTCAGTCACCACTATCTGTTGGAGTTCGACTGCTGTGCCGCACTCTTGGGACATTTTTAAAATTACAAATGCCTAGAGAAGGGGTATTCCGCACACACCCTCTACACACACACAGGTGTGTATGTAGTGCTTGACCTTGTATTTCTAATTTGTTGAATGCAATTAAGAAGCTTAAAGATAACTTCTTAAAATAATTAATTGTTTGCCTTGGGAGTGAGCATAAGACATTTGGCTATTTCAGGTCACCCTACCTCAGTGGGAAGTGGCCATTGTGTTAAAATAAAATATGGTTAGTTGAGATCTTAACGTATGGACTAAGGGTTTTCTTGGCATGTGAAAAGAATTGATTCAGGTGAAATTTATTATTGGGATGAACCCTGAGATAATGCATGAATCTGTCAAGTTGTCTGCCATAAAACAAGCTTAATTTTCCATGCTACATGATGTCTTTTGGAATTAAAGGAATATATGTTTCACAATCATAAATATTAAAGAACTGATATACAGTTCTTTAGAAAACTGCAGTCATCAGAGTCTGTGCACTTTATTTACATCATAAATACCAGTAATTTGTTCAATAATGATATACAATTTTTATCACATAACAGTGGTGCAGTTGTTTGTTTACATGCATGTAGCTCCAACAGCCAGATTGATCAGGCCTGTTCCCAGGACCCTGCAACCATGTATAGATGTTTTTAAATTTCCCTAGTGATAGCGGTGGCAGCCAAAGTAGCACTGGAAGTGACACTTGTACTCTAGAACAGTTACGAAGTCTCCGCAACAATACATCATATACTGGACTCTCTCACCCTCTCACACAAGCCATACAGGTACCTTTGTTACTTCTTGTGTTTTCTTTGAGTATCTGTACCCTGCTTATGTTTAGTTTACATAACTTTAATGTCCTTAAATATAAGCAAATAATAAGTATTGCTGTTATAGTCTTAGGCTTGCCCTAAATGCTCTGCATAACCATGGGCTTTCTGCACGCACAACCAAATGTTACCCATCTTTTGTACAAACACTGTATCATTTGGAAATAAATCTTTGACTTGTATTAAATAAGATATAACCATCGTGTGCAGTGGAAGCCTGTTAAATACCTCACACTGGCAAGATTATTCTTTTCTGTGTCATGAGTGATGGTGAATGCATTTTCTGCTTTCGTTTATATTACCTTACTAAGAATTATTGGAAGTTTGGAGGGATATGTTGTATATCTTTATATGTGTATGCTTCTAAACTGTTGTATTCTGAGCACCTCTGCAAAAACAGTGATAATGTGGTGAAAGTATTTTCTTTTTGGGGATTTTCTTTCTTTTTTGGGTCACCCTGTCTCGGTGGGAGACGGCCGACTTGTTGAAAAAAAAAAAACTAAGAATTATTGCTATATTCATGGAAAAGTGGTAAATATACATCATAAAGCACCTGGGGTATGGCAGTTATCAGGTTTGATCTAAAGTAGGTGAGGATAGGTCCAATTCCTTGTGGCAAATCATTCACCAGCATCAAGAGATCCCGGGTGGAAAATGGCAAATGTTATAAAGAAAACGGTAAGATAATCTTAAACTAATACTTAGATTAATATACAAATTGTCCTCATTCCTGTATTTCTTTTCCAATTTAGGAGGCCTGGTCTGATCCCCAGAATCATTATCAAATGTATACTGGGTTTCTTAAAAAAAAAAAAAAAAAATTATGTCGATGGCCATCTCCCACAAAGGTATAGTAACCCACAAAAAGGAAACACTTTCATCCTTGTCCATTCACTCACCGTCATGCCAGAAGAGTGCTGACATGACAATTCAGATAACCCCGTGAGAGTTGAGACACACTTCCACCTCCAGGACTCAAGTCAGGCTAACCAGTTTCCCTTCATAAATGTAACTAGTTCACACTCCAACAGCATGTTCTTTGAAAACCACTTATTTAACTTGCTCATATCCTTTACCCCCCCTACTACTGTTCTTGGGATGAGCCCTACCCTTCTCCAGATTTCTACACCCTCACTGTCATCCTATCCCCTTTACTCTTGAACAACCCATCTTCAGCTCTCAGCCCTTTTAAATTTTACTCTGATTATTTTTTTTTTCAACAAACCAGCTGTATCCCACTGAGGCAGGGTGACCTAAAAAGAAAAACGAAAGCTTCTCTTTAAATTTGATAACTTTTACAGGAGAAGGGGTTACTAACCCCCTTGCTCCTGGGATTTTAGGCACCTCTTACAACACCCATGGCTTATGAAGGAAGAATTCTTTTCCCCTTCCCCATGGAGATAAGAGGAAATAAACAAGAAATAGTAGAAAACCCAGAGGGGTGTGTGTATATGTATATGCTTGTACAGTGTGACCTAAGTGTAAGCAGATGCACTTGAAACCTTGCATGTTTATGAGACAAGAATTGCTGGTATCTTTTTTCTGTCATGTAAAACAATTACAGGTTTCCATTTTACACTCATAAGAATGGTAGAACCTCCTCGGGTGGTTGCTGTCTACCAGCTTAGTACTTAAGACTCTGAATTATTTACACCATTGTTCTGAAGCATATTGCCATTGCTTTAGCCTCCTTAATGCAGCTATCACTTCTATACATGTGTTGGTATCACTGTTTTGTGGTACACACTCTTGTTTTTGCTTTCATGGGTAAACTTTTGTTTCCACAGATGCTTCAACATTTACATAATTTGTTTCTTGATCTGTGGGTCACCGTATCTTCAAAAATCCATTTGCTGACATGTCTACTCCAAAAAAATTAATAATTCCACTTACTCAAATCTAATATTCAGTCATTACATGTCCCAAATTCATTCAACAACATTTGCAGAATGTATTCTTCTTTCAACGTACCAGCCGTATCCCACTGAGGTGGCCCAAAAGAAAAAACTGAAGTTTCTCCTTTTAAATTTAGTAATATATACAGGAGAAGGGGTTACTAGCCCCTTGCTCCCGGCATTTTAGTCGCCTCTTACGACACGCATGGCTTACAGAGGAAGAATTCTGTTCCACTTCCCCATGGAGATAAGAGGAAATAAACAAGAACAAGAATTAGAAAGAAAACCCAGAGGGGTGTGTACATGTATGTGTAGTGTGACCTAAGTGTAAGTAGCAAGACTTACCTGTAATCTTGCATATTTATGAGACAGACAAAAGACACCAGCAATCCTACCATCATGTAAAACGATTACAGGCTTTCGTTTTACACTCACTTGGCAGGACGGTAGTACCTCCCTGGGCGGTTGCTGTCTACCAACCTACTACCTACTTGCAGAATGTATCTCCCATTTATAAGATCCAATCCCTCTTCCCAGCATCCTATCATTCAGACCTTTTTTTTTTTTTTTTACAAAACCCCTATCTATGGTGACATACATCCCTAATTTTACTATGAATTAATCCTCCCCCCTCACTGTCAGCATAAATATTTTTTAATAATCTTCCACACTAGTGATGGGATGAAAGCTTATATCAAAACCTTGACACACCTCTGTTCCAACATCTACCTCATTATTCCCCTTACCCTCTATCATATGCCTTTTCTAAACTCATAAATATAAAAAATTATTTTTTACTCTTTTCTAATTGTAGTTTACCTGGTACATTGACACTTCTGTAGAATTTTTGTCCCCTTCTCCTTCATACGTGCTCTCGGCACCTTCCTTTCATATGTATTTTAAATAAATACACTAATAATATATCCCCAACCATTATTCTTTCAGCCTTAAATACCTTCCTAGCATGACACCACTAATATTATGTACTGTATATTTCACAGTTTGTAGAGGAGCCAGCCCATTGTTTGCCAGATATTCACACATTGATGGGTAGGCTTGTGGCTGACCTGCTGCCTGATCCTGCCTTGCACCATCTCACTATTCCCCTGTATGCTGCTGCTGTACCATCTGCACCACCTCAACAAAATTGTCAAGACCACATAAAAGAATCTGATACTAGTGCTTTGGCTTCCCCTTCTTAGTAGTATAAAACTGTTTCAGTGAATATAATATAACCATGGAGAGGCAGTAAACCAAAAAGGATCATATAATATGTGAGAAATGGGTTATGTTTAGGTTTGATTTTATTGTGTAATCTATAATTAAGCTTGTAAATAAAATTGTATTAATATATATATTTATCAGGGAATTTTCAAACCTAATTATTTAAAGTTTGTACTGATTACAAACTTGCCTTTTTATATCAGGTACAAAAATGTCTGTGATAGGCACAATAATTTTCTTTTAATAATGAAATCATTTATCCTAATAATAGAACAGAAAAATTGAAAGTTATATTATTTACCAGTGCCATAGTAGATGGTAAAAAAAAAAAAATTTCAATCAAAATAACTTTTGATTTTAAGAAAATTAATAGCCCTTATGGCTTAGCGCTTCTTTTTGATAATAATAATTAAGAAAATTAAAATCTTCTTATGTTGAACACTTATTATATCCTCATAATAAAATTTTATATTGATGCCAAACTAAAAAATAATCTCTTTTATCATGTTGGGGGACCTTCTGTATAATAATAATATAGAAAATTCTGACCATGTTCATATTATTATACATAAGTGATAATTTTTTTTTAGTTTCGAATCTACTGTGGCATTGACAAAGAATAATATAATAGCAAAATTGAAAGTTATTAGGATAAATTAAGTCCTCAACATGTTTTGAATTTTCTTTATTTTGAATTAGTTGAAGAATTACTGTAGCCACAAACTTATTAGATAGATAAATTTAACACTAATGAAATTTTGTTTTGGTGAGCAGAACATATCCAAATAGTTTTCTATGCTAGACATTAAAATAATTTATTGACAAACATACTTCATAATAGTTCCATATTTGCACAATTTTTTGGTATGAGCCAACAAATGGGAAAAAAAAAAAAAAAAACTTATTGTTAATATTTTATTTACAAGAGCCTCTATTATAAGATATGTAGCAAAAGTATATGTTATTTCTTGACATTTTCCAGTTTTTTTTTTGGTTGTAATATATACCTTTGATCGTCTACTTGCAGAGCCCAGTCATGGGCCAAGCTCATCTAGATCTGTAAAATAAAAAAAACATTATAAACTCATGTTCTGACTTCTCATAGCACTATCACTGTTTCACCAATAATGATTTAGCACTTTTTGTTAATAATTAACCCTTAAACTATCCAAAGCTAGATATACGTTTGCTCATGTAGCGCTCCAAAAAAAAAAAGTAGACACGTTTGGAGTGTTATACGAGCAAACTTGGATCTACGTCTGGACAGTTTAAGGGTTAAGTTATTACTATAATCTTGCCTAAATGATGAGAGCACTGTGCACTAAAAAAAATTTTTTATTTTTTTTGGTGTGTGTATATAGTGTTACAGGAAATGGATGCCATGGGCATAAGACAAATTATAATTCCTTTATGAATACTGCACTCTAATGTGAATAAAGATGTCTTCAATTTTTTCAAGGTATCATTATTTCTAGGAATCCCTCACTCTGCAGCACCTATATCTGTCGTGGAAAGTACTGAGCTATGTAAGACAATTCAAACATGATCCCTCTGACAAAATTACTATCACAGGCTGGGGAGATGCAATACATTCCCAAGAATATAACATTCTTCAACCTGAATTTCCTAGCTCCAAAATTAACACTGGTGCTATATGCCTATACTCCTTTTCCTTGCATCAAGTCTGCCTTACATTTCCCCAGGTGCTATATGACCCCTATGGGTTTAGTGCTCCCTTATAAATGCAATAATGAGTTCACTATTGCTCCTGTCAGCTTGAGGTTTGCTACTAGTGGTTCCACCGTATCATTGTCATACAGCACCTGTGGGAATGGGAAGACAATCAATCATCTATACAAATTTATTTTCTGATGTGCTGCTGGAGTATGAGCAGGGTAATATTTTGTTTAAAGATTCAGGGGAACCGGTTAAATGGGAAGTACAATGCCTGCACTATATATGAGTGATGGTAAAAGTGTTGAATGATAATGAAAGCTTTTTATTTTCTTTCTTTTTGGGTCACCCAACCTCGGTGGGAAACGGCTGACGTGTTGAAAAAAATATATATATATACAGCCTCTCCACACTTTATGATGGAGTTCCGTTCCAAAGACCACGTCGGTAAACAGTGTCACTTTTGCACCATTTATAATATTTCTGATATATTTATACAGTAGTGTACTGTACATTGTAATAAACAATAGAAAAAAATCAGCACTAATATACATTATTTAGGTATGCATACTGGTCATGCATACTGACTTGAGTCCTGGAGATGGGAAGTACAGTGCCTGCACTCTGAAGGAGGGGTGTTAATGTTGCAGTTTAAAAACTGTAGTGTAAAGCACCCTTCTGGCAAGACAGTGATGGAGTGAATGATGGTGAAAGTTTTTCTTTTTCGGGCCACCCTGCCTTGGTGGGAATCGGCCGGTGTGATAATAAAAAAAATAAATACTGGTCAGAGAGCCCGTCATAAGTCTGAGCCATTAAACGAGTGTCGCTAAGTGAGGAGAGGCTGTATGTATTTATTTATAGAACGATGAAGGAAAAAAGGCGAGTGGTGCACTGAGGTATCTGTGGAGACAAAAATCTTTATCCATGGAAGCAAAGACAGGAATGTACAAAAGTATAATGGTACCAACACTGTTATATAGGTGTGAAGCTTGGGTTGCAAATGCTGCAGTGGAGATGTTCTGTCTAAAGGTAATGTGTGGTGTAAATATTATGCAGAGAATTTGGAGTGTGGAGTTACTAAATGTATTAGTCAGAGGGCTGAAGAAGGGTTGTTGAGGTCATTTAGAGAGAATGGATCAAAGTAGAATGACTTGGAGGAGGTTCTGTGGGTGAGGGGCTTGGACTTCCAGCAAGCATGTATGAACTTGTTAAGATAGGAGTGAATGGAGACTAATTGTTTTTTGGACCTGACAAGCTTCAGGGAAACTGGTTAGCCAGACTCGAGTCCTGCAAATGGGAAGTACAATGCCAGCACTTTAAAGGAGGGGTTTGGGATATTGACAGTTTGGAGGGACTTCTGAACTGTCGTATCTGAGTGCCTCTGCAAAGACAGTGATTATATGTATGAGCGAGGTGAAGTGTTGAATGATGATGAAAATATTTTCTTTTTTTTGGGTCACCCTGCCTGGTGGGAGACAACTGATGTGTTAAAAAAAAATATATATACATACATGCAGTTAAGAATCCTTTATCTGAAATGTTTGGGATAGGAATTGTTCCAAATTTTGGAGTGCAGGTACAACTTATCTATTTAACAATAGCTCAGACTTACAATCATGTTTCCGACCAGTGGACTGATTGTGTATTTTACAGTTTTGTTTTTTTAATTCCTAGTTCTACTTTTAATATGCTAAAAATATTATAAATAGTTTAAAGGTGGCATTAAAACAATATCTAAAAATGATTAACACAAACCCACTACCAGTACAGCATGTCCGAAGTATCAGTTGGGGGCAGCTCCTCGCTTAATGACCAGTTCACTTACGGACTTACTCTAGGAACAGAACTCAGTCGTTAGGCGAGGAGCAGCTGTATTTGTATTTATAAAATAGGATAGCTTGGAGATGGGACCCAAGTCTAAACACTGTACTGTACCAAAAAAAAAAAAACATGATCACTGCTTACAAGAAGATAACTGCAGGCCCAGGTCTGAGAAACTTGAGGAAGAGGGTACATCATCGATGACATCACTTTTTCGATATCCACTTCCTCCAGGTAACTGACTAACTCTCAAAGTATACTTTTTGCGTATATAAGGAGGTCTGATATTGTTTTCTCACTTGACATGCTGACAATCAATTGATGACGGGGAAAGGGGTGGGTGGTGCACTGAGGTATCTGTGGAGAAATAAAACGTTATCCATTGAGGCAAAGAAGGGAATGTAAAAGAGTATAGTGGTACTAACACACATGGGTGTAAAGCATGGGTTGTAAATACTGCAGCAAGGAGGAGGATGGAGGCAGTGGAGAGGTCATGTGTGTGTGGTGTAAATATTATGCAGAGAATTCGTAGTGTGGAAATTAGGAGGAGGTGGAGTTATTAAAAGTATTATTCAGAGGGCTGAAGAGGGGTTGTTGAGGTGATCTGTTCATTTAGAGAGGAAGGAGCAAAATAGGATGACTTGGACAGTGTATAAATCTGTAGTGGCGGGGATAGAGGGGTAGAGGTCGACCTAGGAAAAAATGGAAGTGGTAAAAGAGGTTTTGTGGGCAAGGGGCTTGGATGTGCAACAGGCATGTGTGTATTAGATAGGAGTGAATGGAGATGAATGGTTTTTGGAACTTGACGAGCTGTTGGAGTGTGACCTTGGGTAATATTTTGTGGAGATATAAATTATATACACATTAGTGCAATATGTCAAAACAGCAGTAGGTTTGTCAAATTAAGAATGAAATTGATGGTAGAAAATGAACAAATTAATATCATTTTCCTATCTAATAATAAAAGATGTATAATAAGTAGGTATACAGCGGTGTGGACACCTTGTCAAGGGTAGGGGCACCTTGTCAGTGGTGTGGACACCTTGTTAGGCATGTGGAGAGGTTGTCAAGGGTGTGGAGAGGATGTCAGAGGAGTGGATTATTATTATAATAAAAAAGAAGCGCTAAGCCACAAGGGCTATACAGCGCTGCAGGGTAGGGAAGGAAGCAAGGGTATTGGATGGCAAAAGGGAGGAGGGATGATCAGTAGGTTACAGAAAACAGCGGGGCAGGGGATAGTGCGGGGGTAGGGGGTAACAAGAGATTGAGGTAGAAAGGGCTGAAGGTATCAGAGTTTGTGAAGTAAGTCAGTTGTCGTCAAAAAGTCAATGAGAGAGTCCGGATGAAAGGTGGGTCCATCAGCAAGAAGGGAAGGTGAAGAGAGAGCAGCGAAGATGACGACGGAGGTAAATTCTTGCTGCTTGTTGATAAAGTGGGCAGTCTAACAGAATGTGGCTGACTGATAATGGAACCTGACAATTCTCACAGAGAGGAGCAAGGCGCCTCTCCATGAGTAAGAAGAGTATGGCCAATGCGAAGACGGGAAAGAGTAGTCTCCCAGCCTTGACACTGGTGACAAGAAGTCGGCCAGTAACCTATACTCGGTTTAATAGATTGAAGTTTGTTACCGAGCATAGTAGATCAACGTTGTTGCCAACGGGTGTGAAGGTGGGTAGCTATTGCAGCAAAATAGTCTGTAAATGGAATACCTCTATATGAAACTGGTAGGTCATGTACTGCTGACCACGCAGCAGTGTTTGCCTGTTCATTTCCCTGTACGTCAACATGACTAGGGACCCAACAAAAAACAATATCTTCATGCTTGGTAAAGATGCGGCGTAGCCAAAGTTGGATACGGAGGACTAAGGGGTGAGGTGTATCAAATTTCTGTATAGCCTGTAAAGCACTAAGGGAGTCTGAGACAACCACAAATGATTACACAGGCATAGATGCAATACGGATAAGTGCTGCAAGAATGGCATACAATTCAGTAGTAAAAATACTAGCCAAAGATAGTAAATGCCCTCGTACGGCACTGTCCAGAAACACTCCTGCGAATCCTACACCGTCAGAAGACTTAGAGCCATCTTTGTACACTGGAATGGCATGAGAATGAGAGTGAAAGTGGTCAAGAAAAAGAGAGCGGGAAGCGACTGTAGACAGTTGGGCTTTTGAGCAAGGGAGAGAAAGAACAGACTCGAACAGCTGGAACTTCCCAGGGGGGTAGGGAAAAGTGAGATGCTACATGTACATAGAATGGTGGTAATTGAAGAGAAGACGAGCGAATGTAGGCGAAGAGAGAAGGGACGGAGTAAACAGGGGCGGTGAACAAATAGTGTCTACTAATATCAGTGACCATTCTATAAATGGAAGGATTGCGGAGATCATGAGAGTGTACATAGTAGCGAAGGCAATGGGCATCATGACAATCGGATAAGGATGGAACATTCGCTTCTGCATAGAGGCTCTCAACAGGGCAAGAGCGAAAAGCACCAAGGCATAAACGCAATCCTTGGTGATGAATGGGGTTAAGTCTAGAGAGAGTAGAAGGAGAGGCCGCTGAATAGATCTGGTCACCATAATCAAGTTTCGATAAAATGAGGGGGAAATGTAGGTGAAGAAGTGTTCGACGATCAGCTCCCCATGAAAGATGAGCAAGGGTTTTAAGAAGGTTCAGCCGGCTGTGACAAGTTGCCTTCAGAGAGGTAATGTGAGGTTTCCAGGATAACCTACGGTCAAAGAGGAGGCCCAGAAACCTGACTGTATCACGTTAAGGGATACGGGAGCCATAGAGGTACAAAGGATGATCGGAGATGACAGAGCGTCTAGCGAAAGTAATTTGGTGAGTTTTGGTACTGGAAAATTTAAACCCATGTGTGGTGGCCCAATTGGAAACACAGTCGACCACATGCTGGAGAAACTGTAATGAGGTGACAGTCAGCGCCTGCACAGGCAATAGCGAA